CGTTTCTTACAAGCCACACAGTCACGCTTTGCGTGACTTTTAATCCTGTTTAAGAACTCTCTATATGGTTTATTAGTTTAGCTTAGCTTTTAAGAAGATTTTGGCATAAGTTAATTTGTTTACAAAGTATCGATTACTCTAGATATAACCAATTATAAATATAACTAAATTGTACTGTATGTTTATAATAGGAAGCCTCTTCTTTATTCTCCTTGTTTCCAGTCTCTTTGTACCATGTGTCTAGGAGGAGACCAGAAGGCTCCGGGAACTTTCATATGTTTAGCCATTGTTTATCCGAACTCTTTATTCGACGATTGATATTTTTTTTATGATGTGGCGCATTCTCGTGCAAGAAAGTTTGCTGCTTTCACTATAGAAGATTATAAGTCATTTTGATTTATTTTCTATTTAAATTTCTTTTAAGTATGACTAAATTTATAAAAAAGTTAGCAATATCTATCATACTAAATAAGTTTTGTTAAATGTAATATTGAATATATTTTTATAGTATGTTTGTTTGTGTTGATAATGTTACTACATTTTTCTATAAACTTGATCAAATTTAAAAGGTTTTGACTAGAAAAAGTCTTATGCTCGCTATGATTTATAAAATTCTTTACTACTACGTAATACTATTGACTTTTGATTATGACGTTTAATCATTCGTCTTATTAAAAAAAATAGATAAATATCATTTGTTTTGTACATTGTAATTTATTTTAACATTAAAAGTTCTTTACGAATAACCTAAATTTTGGAATAAGTCGAATGATCGAACGCTCAACTTAAAAGTCAATAATATCGTATATAATATATAAAAAATGTGGTGAGTAGAGTATGTACATACCGGCCATGTGCGAGTATAATTGTACGCTGCATCCACAATTATTTTGTACTACGTATCTACTCCCTCCGTTCCATAAAAAAACCAACCTAGTACCGGATGTGACGCATCCTAATATATATATATATATATATATTTGTTTGGTGCTTCATGGTGCCCGGGCACCATGATTGAAATTTACTATATACCCAATTCAAATGAGTATGAAACTTTTTCAAATATTTAGGTATTAACGTTAACTACTTTAGTAACTAGTTCAAAGCAAGTTTGAACTGAATTCAAACTTGCTTTTGTTAGATTTTGATTCTAGGTATATAGCATCCAAACATATAATTAGTTAGGTATGTAATAATGGATTGTGAAATAAAGTTAAATTTGAGTTGTTTTGTTGCTAGGTATAGGTATGAATCGAATACTTATAAGTAGGTATATACTCACAATTTGAAAATTTTGAAAAATTTGGGCGAATTTGTGTATTTCATACCATGTTGCCCGGGCACCATGGTGCCCCATATGAGTGTCCTATATATGTACATATATGTATATATATATATGTATATATATATATATATATATATATATATATATATATATACATACATATATATATCTAGATTTATCGTACTAGAATATATCATATCCGGTTCTAGATTCGTTTTTTAGGGACGGAGGGAAGAAGGGGAAATGAACAACAACGTGAGGAGAGAGACCCTAACCAGCAGAAAAAAGAAAAGCAATCGATCCGTGTACCGTATATATATATATATATATATATATATATATATATATATATATATATAGTGTACCGTATTTCTATACGCGTGCAGGTAAGCCACACGTACTTAAAATACGTCATAAATACGGAGAATGATAACGCGCGCGTTCCGTGTCCGTGTGCCGCTGTAGCTGGGCCCACTTATCGCTAGTATACGTACACATGCATGCATATGCACGAGCATCGTATTAATGTACGCATATGTCCACGAATCAGCCAGCAGCAGAACTGTCGGCTTTCTTTCTTCTTCTTCTTTTTTTTTTTTTGAAATTAAAATTCTTCTTCTCTAGTAGTACGTGTTTTAATTCTCTGTCTTTCCCGCGCGCGATCCTCGTCCGGTTCATAAAATAACATCTGTGTTGCGAAAAAAGATAATGAGGGACCAGTACTCGAATGATCGAATCGAGTATCAAAATTAAAGGTTGGTGGATGCATGGCACTAATAATTAACCATATGAAAACTTCCTCCGCGCTAAGATATGATCATTTTTGAAGTTATGATCAGCTAAAATAAAAAAAATAGATTAAGAAGTAGCTATACTTTAAACAAATTTATGCGTGAAAGCTATTATATATTGGCATAGAGGAAGCAGGTGTGGTTGTGTGATTGGTGATGTTATTTTTTACTAGCACACACTTGAGCAGGGCGGAGGGCGGAAGTAAAGCCGAAAACTGCTTGGGCTTGACTTGCCTTCATAATCATGCTTTAAATTCTCCCTAAACCACCATTTAACTTTGTGAGAAAATGAATATCCGTTACCCGATACATATTTAAGACTTTAAGTCCTAAGCTTTTATGATTTTTAGCCCTTCCACTACGCACTTGAGTCGTTGAGAAAAAAAGAATGGAAGGGAGCAAAAAACGAAGCGATAACAGACAGTCAGCTGTGAATGAACGATACCACAGTACCACACGAATTCTCTTAATGAAAAAGATACCCCTCTGATTCTATATTAATTGACGTTTTGGACAAGGTTGAGGTTAAAATTTTATAACTTTAACCATCAATAACTTGAAAAATATTTAATTTAAAGAAACTAGAAAAACATATATAGATTTGTCTTTCAAAACACTATAATAAAAGTAAACATACATTTATTTATTATATATATTATAATAGAAAAATAAGGTCAAAGGTATATCTTATAGAGCGTGTTATTGTCTAAAGCGTCAATTAAAATAAAACCGGAGGGAGTAAGTGATTAGTTTCAAATAAGGCTATAAATTCCACAAGAAAAACTGGTCTATAAGTTTACTTCCAAAAATGTAAATGAACGATAATATGCTTCATGGGCTGACGCGTCAGGATTCGTTTGAATGGGCCTCAATCGCGGTCCATCCACGTGTGTAAGCCCATACTTGTATATGGGCCAAATTTTAGGCCAATCCAAGCGAGGGCCGAGAGACTCTGGAACCGTTTCGCTTTTTTTTTTCTTGCCTTGCTGGACGCAAAGTAGGTTATTGGGCTGGACTCCATCAAAGCCCATCAATTCGATCCATTTGTGGTCTGTTTTTGCATCGCCGGTAAATTAAATGGGCTGGTTTAGTATGAGCGTCCAGTTAACTACTGCTACTGTGTTGTGCTCAAGATGTTTTTATTGAATGAGTCCTTGAGAAATAACCGTTTTACTCTTATGCCCCTATGAGTTTTCAGATAGGATCCCAAATTCACAATCTTTTTTTATGCAATTTTTAAGGCAACAGATGATCCAATTTTTTTCCTACTGAGTTGCACAAATCATCGAATGGTGCCCTTAGAAAAAATCACCCAAGGTGGAGTGGAATATAAGTGTTTTTGATAATCATGGAAGTAAACACAACTCAATTTGACATCAAAAGCTAGTGTAAACCTCTGTTCTATTAGAAAAGAGAGTATTAAAACGAGAAGGATAATCCTTATTGAATGTGCCCGCAACACCATCAATAACTGTACGCAACGAAATCAACTACTCCCTCCGTTTAATAATGTAAGTCATTCTAGCATTTCTCACATTCATATTAATGTTAATGAATCTAGATAGATATATATGTCTAGATTCATTAATATCAATATGAATGTGGAAAATGCTAGAATAACTTACATTGTGAAACGGGGGTAGCATTTACTAGAAATAATAGATAAAAGCTGGAGTAGTTGTGCTTTCCTAATAAATTTTCGAGGGTAGGATATATCATCGTCTTGACATTTTCTATCATCATATTGGCCAAAATATCTTTTCACTCAGGCACACATGTCAGTTACATCTTCTTTGTCTATTCTCTCCTTTTTGTTTCTTTCTTCGTCTTCACCTCGGTCTCTCTCTCTCTCTCTCTCGCTAAAGTAGCATAGGCGGTCAGAGGCTGATAGCGGTGAGGTTGAGGAGGCTTGGCTCAGTGCCCGCAATTCTATGTATGTTGGCGATGCAGGGGGGAAGCAGCTACTACACGTGGCTGGGCAGCCATGGCAAAGACCCGAGACGGGTTGCCAACAATGGCCGGGTTGGAAGAAGAAGGGTTCAAGCGATGGTAGTTCACCAAAGGCATAATCAGCCAAATTTCAAAGGGATTTGGGGACTATGGAACTGAGGAGGGGATTGATGTGGAAGGCGTGATTTGGGGTGAAGAAGGAGGTCAACTTGTCGTTGTCGAGGTGGTGGTCGAGCAGAGCGGCTGCAAAGCTGAGCCATGGCACCGAGGATGGGAATGCTGCCGCGAGCAAGGAGAAGGACTACACACCTGCGATGTAGACCGAAGAAACCTCGTCGTCGCAGTACTCCGGTGCCTTCCATCGGCGATGGGACCGAAAAGCTCGAGGTCTGAAGGAGGAGGAGGAGGAGATCAAGATAGTGGTAGGGCAGGTGGCGGTAGAGCAGCAACCTCGAGTAGGTGGCGGCGTCGGCTCCCTCCTTCCTTCTTGGGCCAGCGGCGAGCTCGAGCAGGCTAGGGCCGGAATGTCCTAGGAGCAACCGCCGCCATCATCATCTTCGACCCCCTCTCATCTGCGCCGGAGCCAGCCTCCTCGGAGCCTGCTAACGAGGAGGAGAAGAAAAGAAAAGGGTCTTGACAGAAAACATGACGATGATAGTATGGTTCCAATAGAAATTTCTAATAGTACCGAACCAATATCATGAATAGTAATAACATTACTGTCATTCGACATATTTATCATGGTATAGATCAAATTAACCCCTTTAATTTTCGTGGGACCCAACGTCTACTAAAACATGAAAGAAAAACGATCTTGCAAGAGAACACTGACAATGTGAACCGGTCCTAGAGTAAGATTCCAAAAAATGATTTTTCTTTTTTCAGCCGTTGGTTAAAAAAAGGGGAGGAGATGAATCCATCTAGGGCTATCACAAACTCGCGGCGTATTTATCCGGGACTCACCTAAAAATCAGATTTATATATAATCAGGACACCTTCTCTTCTCTTCTCTCGTCTCGTCTCCTTCCTCGGCTCGGCATTTTCGCGAAATCCGCAACAAAATCCACGGCGGCAACGAAGCCCGGGGGCGGGGGGACCCTACAGCGCAGCCGCACAGAGAAGGGGAAGGAAGCCTACTACTCTACTAGTCCTACCCCTACCCTACCCTACGGCCTAGGGGGAGGGGGGGAGGAGAGAATCCACCAAGTGAAGGGTGAGCTCCCCCCCCCCCCCCCCCTCCCCCCTCTTCCTAATTTCGCCAAATTCCGGGGGCTAAACCGGAGAAGAGGTCGATCTCGCTCTCTCTTTCGCGCGCGCTAAACCGGGGGGTGCTCTCGCGTTTTGGGGCGGCGGCGGAGGTTTCGCCGCCGGCGGCGGTTGTGTGTAGATGGGGGTGGGTGGATGGGGGTTTCGTTCGTTGATCAGTGGAGAAATAATGTTGGTATATGCAGGTTTAGGAGGGGATCAATCGAGTTTTTCAATCTAAATGCGGTCACTAATATTTTTTTTCTTATATGCATGTAATTACCTGCGTCAGGAGTGTGGGGGATGTGAGCTGCTGTGTGTGATACACACACGGATTACAGTTTTTCTTGTTCCATTTGTGTGATCCATTTAACCAGCCCGCGCATATACTTGATTTTGATGTTGGGTGGGGGGCATTTTTTATCAACTACTGTAGTCTGTGGGGGGTTTAGGTAGATACAAACAGCCTCATGGATGGTAATTGTAATTAATCTAGGGTGTTCTTTCATGTTTCGTAGGGGTTGGATATTATTACTAATGATAAATGTAATCTAGGGTGTTCTTTCATGTTTCCTAGTAGTTGGATGTTATTACTGTCTACTTATGGATTGTGACATAGTGGTACTAGGGGCCATTTATGTATGAAAATGAAAATGAGTACTAGGGGGTGCATTTATATGTTCGGATTATGTGTTAGCCCCACAAAGAGTACACAATCACTAAACAAACTCATTGCCACCTTTGGTGCGATAGCTACTTCTTTCGGAATGTGTGTTGAGCATTTTGGTGGAAAGTGTGGTAGCCATAAACACGGAGTAAATGTGTTGAGTATTAAAATTTGCGCTATAGAGAAGATTGTGCTACCAAATGTTTCATACAATCCATAAATGGGCATAGTGTTTGGCTGTTTTCCTTGCAAAGCATAATGTTTCAAAAATAACCTCATGGATGGTAATTGGAGACTATCGTGTTTGTTCATGTTTTCATAACTTTCATTTGATATTATTAAATGAGTTTTGTGTGAATAGAGGATTTGGCGCTATCAATAATATCTCATGCGTGGGATCAATAACCATAATATTTCATTGTTTTCCATAGAAGTGTATTAGCTTGTAATTGTAGTCGAAAGACTTCTAGTATATTCCTGAAATGTAGTTTCACTAAGAATATTAAATGTGGCATCATAGAGACAAGTGCACACAAAGTGTGCCGAACATTTTGTGTACTGTATCAACAAAGTGTTTGAAAATGTCATAGCTGAGTGTTTTCTTTTGAGTTATAAGTTATGATTTCTTTATGAAATGAGACTAATATATTTTTCTACAGATATGGAGTGCAACAGAGATGATGCAATTCGATCAAAGGAGATTGCTGAAAGGAAGTTCAATGAGAATGATATCGCTGGTGCGAAGAGGTTTGCCTTGAAAGCAAAGACTCTTTTCGACTCGCTTGAAGGTATTGATAATATGATTTCTGCCTTGGATATCCACATAAGGGCACAGACGAAGATTGAAGGGGAGAATGATTTGTATGGAATATTAGATATATCGGCCTCTGATGACGATGAAAAGATCAAGAAGCAGTACAGGAAGTTGGCCTTACAAACTCATCCTGACAAGAATAAATTTTCTGGTGCTGAAAGTGCCTTCAAGCTCATCCAAGATGCTTGGGATGTTCTGTCTGATAAGGACAAGAAGAGATCATATGATCAGAAGAGGTTTGGTGGTTCCTCAAGAGTATATCAGAATGGCTTTGCGGAAAATGCTAATGCCACTCCTGGTTCCACTATGTCAAGTATGAATGGTTTCTTCTGGCAAAATTCTGGTAGGCACCCTTCTTATGCAACAGACACATTTTGGACATACTGTGATTCTTGTCAAATGAGTTTTCAGTACTCCAGGGAATACGTCAACCGAAATCTGGCGTGTAGTTTCTGCCAAACAGAATTTGTTGCTGTTGAAACTCCACCCCCAACTGCTCCAGTTTACTATAATGTGACCAATTTAATGGACACTAGCAGTAATATGGATGACCCACAAGGAACAGGAGTACCTTATAGCAGCAACAAGATTTTTGATCCTGTGCTGCAGCCAGTTTTCGGTTCTGTAGGCGGTGCACACGCCTCTAGATATCCAGTTCAACAGACATGCAAGCCTGCTAGAAAGGAGGAGGTAGCTGAAGTTAATGTAGCCAGAAGAGAAGAGGCAACTAAAAGGAAACATGAACAAGCAAGTTCTTCCCTTGGATCATCAAGTTCAGCTGCAAAAGTCATCCACAGAAGAAAAGCAGTGACAAAGGAAATGGAAGCTGAAAAGAGGAGATGCATCAACAACAAAAGTAAAGTTTCTGGTCAAAAGAACAACACAAATAAAGTTGTTGGGAAGTCAACAAGTTCTGCCGCTGATGGTGATTCAGGTCCACAGATGCATCCAGCAAAAAGAAAATCTGCTTCTTCCATTGGAACATCAGGAACAAAGAGGCGTAAAATGCCTTCTGATCATAATTCTGGTAATGCTAGGACTAGCTTTGGAAAAGTGTTCCTGCAGTTGGAGACAGAGATCCCAGGCTTAAAAATGGAGAAGATGAAACTTCAAATTCGGGACAAACTAGAAGAATTCAAAAGTAGAAGGGCCAACGTAGAAAATAAAGGAAACGTGCATGTGAGTTTAGAAAAAAAGAAGACATGGAAGTGGAAGAAACCTGCAACACTCTTTGTATACACAAGGAGAAACCGTAAGGAACACAGGAAAGAGCCTGGAGTGGATGCCATTGGTGCTGGTTCTTCTCACAAGCATTTGGATGGCAAATATAGTTGCTTGGATCAAGTGCCATCTTCTGATGAAGGATCTTGTGTAATGCCGGTCCCCGAAGCAGATTTCTACACTTTTGGTGATCATCCTGAAACTTCTTTTCAAAATGGCCAAATATGGGCTGCATATGATGAAGAAGATGGTATGCCACGCTACTATGCTTTGATTCAGAAGGTGCTCTCGAGACATCCTTTTAAAGTTAGACTGGCTTTCCTCAAAGCAAAGGACTGCAGTGAATTTGTAACTTCAAATTGGATCTCATATGGTTACTCCAAGACCTGTGGTGATTTCATAGTTGGTACGCCAAAAAATACTGACCAACTGAATACATTTTCTCATGTTGTCACATGGGAGAAAGGCCCAGGTGGTATCATCAGAATTTTTCCCAGGAAAGGTGATATCTGGGCCCTATATCAGAACTGGTCTCCTGAATGGAATACATGTACACCTGATGATACCATATACAAGTATGACTTGGTCCAGGTTCTTGATAGCTACAACCCAAGTGCAGGCATTTCTGTCATGCCTATAGTGAAGGTTCCGGGGTTCGTTTCAGTGTTTACGCCCCTTCTTGACCCAACGAAAAGCAGGACAATTCCGAAGGAGGAGATGCTGCGATTTTCTCACCAGGTGCCATTCCATGTCCTTACTGGAGAAGAAGCTAAGAATTCTCCCAAGGGATGCTATGAATTGGATCCTGGTTCTACTCCGAAGGAACTTCTTCAAGTTGTTCCACAATCTGACGGCGTATAAAATAAGTCCCGTAGCTGATGCTGATGCTAGCTCTAGCTTGTACTTAGTGGCTGAACTATTTTTTCGCTTTTTTATATCCTGGAATCATTGGGGTAATACCGGTTTCTTTAGTATTGTACAATACTACAATACATACCCAATGCTGTGTATGTTTTGACCTGTAAGCTCCCCATGTTGTTTTGATGTATTAGTAAACATGGCTATCTGTAAGTTCCTAGATATTTCTGGCCAGTTAGCCATATTATTATTTCTTGATGTTTCTCATCAAGAGCAGTAGAAACTTTAGAATATTGCTGACCTGTTGTTGTGCATGGAGTTGGTGATGGTCGTCACAGTTGGCCGAGATATTTAACTATTTGGAGGTCAAATATCTCGTTCAGGAAAAAAGGGTGAGATGTGGAAGTATATCTCGTTCACAAAATGCATTGCTTTCTTAATAGATTAATCTTTTCATGAAATGGAAGTATATCAGTTCTGGAGCTTGTCTGAGTCTGACCGTCTGGAAGCCATGAATTTTTGGCACTTTTAATGCGAAATTCTTGTTGCACCTTGAATTAGTTTCTGCTATGTTTAATGTCTAGGGATAAAATTTCCTTTTGTAGATAATCAGCAGCCAGCAGTATTTTCATTTGTGAAAATGCATAAAATGGGTGTGCTTTTCGGAGTTCAGGCACATGTAAATAGGTCATACAGAAATGCTCCTGAATTTCCATTGCAGTTTGGAGGAATACAGCTCCACTTGGCATGGGAGCTGCTACTAGATTCAGAAGTCCTAACTTGAACCTACATGAAGTCATACTAAATGATATCTGGTAGTTTCAGTATCAGGCAACCTGGCACATGCCATCATTTCATGGTTGCTAGCAACAGGAATTAACATATCTGCCGAGAACAATTGAAGCAACTAGTGATTGATAAAGAAGTATCATCAAGACCCAGGAGCATCAGTTCAGCCCCAGTTATTACTATAGAGAGTACATACTCAGTTTTTGGGCAGATGACTGCAGATTCAGAAATAAGTAATACACACTGAAGACGAGACGATATCATGATAATGAAAACAAGCAAAAAACCAAGACTAAACAGATGTCTTCTGTCCAGCCTTCTGGCAAGGACCTTAATATCTCTAAGAAGACTTAAACCAGTTGGTGTAGTGCCGACCCCAAATTCCTCTAGATGATAGACCAAACGATATCGATTGCTTCAGCGAGATACAAAAACAACCACAGGTTACATGATTTTGTACATGACAGATAACCTTCTCACGGTAAGACGGAAATATCTAAGGATAGGCCAATGATCCGGAATGTGTGAAATCTCAACCACCTTTGGTGAAGAAAGTGAAAAAAAACTGTCAGGCCAAGGCAGAGGGGCATGGACCAAATGCTGTGCCACATGCTATCCACTGCTTTTTGCGGCTGCATGGGAGCATGCAATCAGGAACCTTCTGCCACTCCTTGTTCAAAAGGTTGTATGTCACGAGGCGGTTCATCCGCTTCGCCTTCAAGGAGAGCATGAGCAAACCACTGTTGCCCAGGCATGTCATCTTCATGTGCTTACCGTAGAATTCTAAGCACCAGATATTTGGCATTCTGTCCACCTCCTTCCAGAGGAGAGTCATCTTCTGCAACTCCCAAATGCAGACACATGTCGCTGCATTTTTGCAGAGCAGACCCACCAGCATAACCCTTCCCTGGAACTCGGCAAGTGTGTGGTCAGTCAGATGAAGTGGCAGTGGGATGACGAATTGTCTCCATATCCCAGTGCTTACATCATACGACAAAACACCCTCTGGTTCTGCACACATGAAGTATAGCATGCTGCCAACCGCCACAGGCTGTGACCTAAAATTTAGAGCAAGCGGAAGTTTGATGCTTGGAGGAAAAGTGCCTGGACAAGACCACATATTCTTCATAGAATCATAGACTTCATAATTCCCATCATTTCCTAACCACATTACTTTGTAACCTTCATTAGAGGTTCCTCCGTTCATCACCATCCCTACTGCCACTCTTGACCATGCCTGGACTGACCTGCGCGGAATTTCCTTGAGTGATTGTGTTAGCGGATTGCATATGTAGAAGTTCCTGTGGCTAAGATCCAATAAACAGACAAGGCCACCTGCAGATGCCACTGGAATTACTATCTTTGCAGGAGCCAGGGGAACTGATGGGTGGTGCCATTTTTTCAGCGAAGGGTCATACATCGCTACATTGTTGCTGGCATTCTCATGGGTGATTGTATAGAACCATGGCAGCCTCTGTGGAACTTCTGAGTACTGCTGAGAGAAACTTTCTGAGCCCAACATAGAATACCAATTCCGGCAAACAGTGCGAAATCGGAAAATTGCAGCAACTGGAAGTCTTGCAACAACGGTTTCAAAAAGGTCTCCAGGGAACTCACTCCAAATCTCCTGTTGCATTTCTTCAGTTGAGTTTGAGTTGGGTGCTTTCTCACGGTTTTTGTCCCTCCGTGAGCGCTTGCGAGGAGGAGATTGGTTAGCTTCCATGATCTTTAGTAATTCTGAGTTGTATCCAGTCCTTGCTCTACAATGATCATCTTTGATTGAACCATGCTCAAAGTCCAGTAAATACCACCTGCAAGATATCACTAAAACCAATTAGTCCATCTTATTTACTAGCAAAGAAGTTCTGGAGAGTAGGCACAACTGCACAAGAACTTTTAAAGTGAAGAGAGATAAGATGATCCACAGCTTTGTACAGCAGGAAATGCATGATTCTATCTACAGACGCTGGAATGATCAATATGATGAACTAGTCTACTCAAAGTCTCCAAAAGTGTTGATGAACTAGAGCACCTGACTTATGGGGGGAGGGGGGGTATCAGTCACGCAAATGACCTTTTCACGCAATAGTAGCGTCAAATGGAGTCTAGGGACTATCACTCCATGTGTGGATGGAAAGTTTGATGACAAAGATGGAAAACACGTGCGCTGCAGGTTTTCACATTTCGAAACTAGATTACTCATACATAACCCTTGAGTGCAAGTGTATCCACCATAAACACATGCTCTATCTCTCTGACCGATATAACTGAACAGGAGAGCACTGCACTAATAACATCATGCTGTTTGAGGTATGTAGTTATGCCCCTCAGCTTCCAATGGCGCGCAAATTCCTAATATGCCCAAAACGGATTGCAAGCAGATTAAGCGATCCGATACTGCTGAGATTATGAGACCAACTGTAGCCAATAGAATTGCATTATTTTATCACAGAAGATATGCGCAAATCAACAGAAAACTGTATACTTTGTTTTCTAAAATGTCCAACTAAAAATATAGCATCAATATTATAATCATCGTGTGCGGAGTGCCTGATAATGCACCGAAACAAGCACCACTCTGTCGTTCATATACATAAGATAGATTGCAGTTGCTCAACAAATTACATTAGTTTTGTATGGCAACCACACTTTAGCCTTGGTAATCGAGTAATCGTGTATTTCCTTTGGATTTCGAGTTAAAAAAACGTTGCAACTGGTATATTTCTTTTCATCGAAACCGGCGTCAAAATAATCGGTGTTTTCATTTTTGTCTTGATCCCTTGCTTACATAGCAGTAGAAACAGTGCAACACCCGAAGTCAACTTAATTAGGATATCTTAAGATGAGCAGAGAGCCTCGCATGGTGCAAAAACAACCCCCAAGTGGTGGACTTTGTTGCGCTTAATACCATGGATATACGTAAAGAATCTTGTCCTATCGCTTCGGGCAATGTCAAGGCTTGAAACTTGGAGACGGGTAATTATAATCAATTTAATTAACAAACAACAACAAGCATATGCACGAAATTCTCCCATTTCTGTCACGCACGCCACCGTTTCCTCGAATTGATCCTTCCTACCCTACCAAATCCACCAGCACAAGGAAGCCAAAAAAATAAAAGATTTTTTGCAACGGAAATACAGTAATAATAATAACCAATCAAGAAGGGGAGCCAAAATCGCATGAGCGTGTTAGTGAAAGATCTAAAAAAAATTTCTTTACACATAGGGGACGCCAGATGATGAAGAAGAACCCCAGAGAGAGGCGAATCGAATCGAATCGGGGGGAGAATCGCAGGCACAGATCCGGGCGGAGGAATCGATTGGAGGAGCAAGAAGTGATAGAGGGAGAAGAGTTGCTTGCCTTGGGAGGGGGTGGGAGTTGGCGCCGTAGAGGTCCCAGAGCTCCTGCACCTCGCCGACCAGCTGCCGCAGCGCCGCCACCTCCCCCATCCTCCCTCCTCCCGCCGCCGCCGCAGCGGCGCCCCTCTCCTCCTCCTCCTCTTCCCCCAGAACAACAACAAAAAATATTTTCTTTTCTTTTCTTTTCTTTTCTCTTCTTCTTCTGCTGCTGCTGCTGCTGCTGCTGCTGCGAGAAGTGGTGGGTTTGCTGCTGCTGCGTGCTGCGGCCGCGTGCGATATATGGTACGCGACGACGCGTGCGTCGATGGATGGATGGATGGGTGTGGTGCGGTTTAAGTAAGCATAATTGTTTTTTTGGGTGAATTTGGCTGCTGTTTGTTTGTTTCGTGCGTTTGCAGTTCAGCGGTTGGGGTTGGGTTGAGGGGCGTTATTAGATACATACTCCACTACACTACACTACACTACACTTGTGCGGCTAATAGGTTTATTACTTACACCAATCAACTCTTTGGTACCACCATCATCATCACCACTATATACTAGATGGTTGCATTTATTTAACTACTAATACCCGTTTAATAAGTTCACTAAGATAAAAAAAAATTAAACAGTAAAACAATAAATCTATTAGTGCACTTAAAAGATGAATTTATATGATATTTTAAATAAATTCTATTTAGAAAGTTTTCACACGAAATAGACCGTTTAGCGGTTCAAAGAACATGCTAACATAAAACCGAGGTAAAATTTGAATCTAAATAAGAAAAGGGCGGGTCCTTAAATAACTTTCCTCGAAAAAAAATACTAACCCCATTTTATAACATTTAAAATACATGCGGTTAAAGACTATTTAATTTTATGAGCTGGCGTAGAAGAATTTGGCTTAATTTTCCAATACTAACCCCATTTTATAACATTTAAAATACATGCGGTTAAAGATTATTTAATTTTATGAGCTGACGTAGAAGAATTTGGCTTAATTTTCCCACGCAAATTGCATGATGCTATTTGGAGAAAGTCCTCAAAACTCAAGGCATCTAATCCTAGGAGCACCTATCTTACATGTCAGTTGACACGAATGGAGACAGTCATGCATCTAGACGATTTCCGACCCCATTATTTAGCTTATTCATGGAATAA